CTGCTTATGCAGGGGGTCGGACTCGATGATCTATTGAGGTCCCTTCCGAACATCTATGAATCTATGAATACATTTCAACTTCCTCTTCACTCCCACAGCTGAGCTGTGCCTTTCGTTTCAATTTCCAGTGATTCCTGTTTCTTCACCAGCCTTAAATGTCTAGCAAGCATCATTAAATGGGGTCCTGAACAGTTTGCCCTCTCACTCAACCTGTCATGTATGATCAGCATGGATCTGGGTTTTCTGTTTCCCACGGAAAAATGGAATGAACATCAGATTTTGCCTTCTACCAGAGGCAAACGCAGACTTTATTTTACCAGAGAAACCCATGGATTTTGCCATTTTGCAATAAGCTCCCTGCAGGCTGGCAGAGTTCCAGCCTGCAGGGAGCTGGGAGGGAGCAGGAGGAAAGCAGAAAGACAGGGAGTGCCATGTGCATAGACACGCACGTGGCCCTAGGCAGCCTGCAGAGCAGCTCCGACAGGTAAGTGTGGGGGTAGAGGGGGATTGAGGCCCCTGTAGGGAGGGAGCTGGGCAGGGCTGCCCAGCCAGGTGGGGCTTGGGACCCAGGGCTGTAATGTGCCCTGCGGCTGCAGGGCCCCAGCGGGGAGAAGGACAGGGCCATGGGTGGCTCATCCGAGCTCCCTGCTGCCATGTACACTGCTGGGGGGGAGAGGGGACTTGCAAACCCCTTCCAGGTCTGTATCTGGGGCAGGCGCAGGCTGCAGGCTTATAAGTGTTGCTTAAATATGCGTGATTGGAGTATGTGCGCTAAAACTTACAGCAGTTTCAAAAAAGGTAAAATGCATCAATTCTGGATGAACTAAGTAATACACAAATTACTATGAGCATGTTTGTATCAAAGTTAATGTTTTCAGATTTGCTCCTCACTTTCATGTGCTCAGGGAAAGCAGGGTCTGACAGTAAAGGGGAGTGGGGTAGGTTGCATGGGGAAGAAGTCTCCTTGCTAGAGGGCAAGGAGGCCACCTGATTCCAGCCCCCCAAGATCTATTTTCCCTGTTGTAACAGTGGGAGGGGGTGAATTAAAGGCAAATCTCCAAGAATTAGATTCTATACCTGGAAAATTATAACAGATTTCTAGATTTTTTTAATCTGCAGAATCTAATTATTTTGTGGTCATCTTATAGTCAAGTAAATACTGTAGTTCTCATCATGAGATTTGCTTGGGCCTAGAAAGAAGCTAAATATAGTTGATACTTTATCTGAGCTATCTGATTTGCTAGCACAAGGTGGCTTGGGTTAAGGAGCAAGTGACTTAAAAGCTTGGATGTGAATCAGAATTCAGAATAAAGAAATGGCAGTGCGGATACCATCCTGCTTTCTGCTTTAGGAAGTCAAGGAAACATGATGAGAAAAACTTTAGAACACTGATGTTTGCACTCTTTGTGTTTTATTGCTTGATTCAACTCAATGGCTCTCTCACTGTGAGGAGAGCAGCAGTGTACTACCTCTGGGTGCATTACTATCTCAACCCCTCTTGTTGTGGCCTCAGAGCTGTTTCAGAAGTCAGAGACCTATTTTTACTCTGAGTAGTATCACATGAATCCTCTATCTGCTATTGATGCAGAGTGATGTTATGCATTCATCCTTTTCTGAAAGCAGCTTGGTGGTAACTATAAGGGAGGTAAAAGATCTATGATTTTCATTTTCATTGCCTGAGCAAGGTATATTTAGCTTTCATTCCCACTGGAAATGATAATAACATGAGGGATTTTGGATAGCTAGCTTCTTTCAGGATAGGAAAAATGTCCACAAATGTCAAGTCTGTATGGTGTGGGAAGATGCACGCGCATGCACAGCTTGTAAGTTCAGCTGTTGTATAAATAAGTTTAAGGTTCTACAAAGGAAGATGCTTTTTGAGGGTAGTGATTGATGGCCTGATTTTCAAAGGTGCTAAGTATCTGCAGCTGCCACCAATTTTAGTAGGATTTATGAATGTGTAGCGGTGCTGGAAAGTAGTTGAGCAGTGAATTCTTTTGTCCTTAATTATCTTGATTTTCATTCTCCTGCATGTTTTTATAAGTGTGTGTAAGTGAGGTTTTTGTTTTGTTTTTTAGGAGGAGGAAGAGGAAAAGAAATAGATAACAGCATGTGGAGTAACCAAGCAAAACCTCGATTGCTGAAATTGATTGTTAACAAACAACTTATCTATTCTTAGGGATAGTCTTTATTTAGCAGTTTGTGGCTAGCTTTGAAGCAAGGATGATTTCTATTAACATAATCATTGCCAACATCTGCAAGTCCTTGCCTAAACTTACAGGCATTAATACACAGCATCAATACAAGAATACTGATTGCTGAATCATAGTTTTTACCACAGTGTAAACATAGTTTAAGTGAGAAAAAAGTCAAGATCTTAAGGAAGAAGCTGAATTTTTTAGAGATCCTGAATTTTAAATCTGGGGATAGGCCTTACCAACTTCTTTCCTCAGAGTTTGGAAAACATATGTGATGTTTAAAAAATATAATACCCAAATTTACATGTAATGATTCAACTTTTTTGAACAGAGTTCTCCTTCTTTGATCCTAATGATGCAGCATGCCAAGAAATTCTTTTCAACCCCAAAACATCAGTTTCTGAATTGTTTGCCATCTTAAGGCAATGGGTCCCACAGGTCCAGCAGAACATTGATATCATTGGGAATGAGGTAAGGATCCCAAATAGTTCCAATATAAAAGAATGCTATAGTGTTGATAATGATCGGAAATAGATTTGTTGAAGAGCAAAGTGATGGCAAGGTCCAAGATATCTCTGCCTTGCAGCTTGTAGTTAATGTACCAGTTGTACAGGCACTACGTACAATAGAAGGTGCTTTCAGCTGTTTTGTGACAGAGGTCTAATGGGATAAGGAAAACCAAAAAATCTATTTAAGAAAATTACAAAAAGAAAACAAATGGGTGGTAACAGAAATGGCAGGACTTTTTTCAATCTGTAATTTAGTCTCCCTGCCCCCTATCTTCCAGTTTTCTACTTACAGTAATTTTTAAATTCTGAGAAACAAAATTAAAACTAATTCATACCTCTAAGGGTGGGGTTTTCAAAAATATCAAAGTGACTTGGTAACTGAACTCTTATTTACTGTTGTGACTTTTGTTTGTAAGAGTCTTGGCTGCTTTGGGAAATCCCAACCCTAAATTCCTCTTTCCTTATGTTTCTTCAGGTAGTATAGGATTTTAGATATCCCAGTGTTATAATTGTGAACTCTCCCTTTGTATTGGGAAACAACAGGATTAAAGTATGGGGAGAAAGGGAAATTATAATATTTACCTGAATCCAAGACGACCCCCCCCCCCAATTAGATTTCATATGTGGAAATTTAAAAAAATTGTTATAGTTTTTCCATGTATAGAATCTAATTGTTCGGGGAGTTGTCTTAAATTGATTCCGCACCCCCCCCCCCCGCCTCCGGACCTACCAGGGAAAACAGTGGGGGATCAGTAACAGGGCAGGTGGCAGGGAGGGGGTCAAACAACTTGACCTCTGCCCCTTGCCCCCCCACGCCTTACCGTATGCCACTTTTTCCCCCATCATTTGCCCCCCTGCTGCCTGCCCCCTCATGCAGCCGCAGACTTTCTGCCACTTCTTCCCCATATCTTTCCTTCTCCCTCCCCTGCCCCCCCCCGGGCTGCTTACCTTTGCTTTAATGCCAGCAGGCTCTGTCCCCACAGGAGCAGGGACGGGACCTGCTGGGGCTGAAGCAAAGGTAATGTCTTGGAATTGAGTAAATATGGTAAGTTTTTAAACTGGTAAGATTCATCTGAGCCGCATTGCATCTGATGCTTGAACAGTAACTTCTCAGCACATTAAAACTAAGTTAGTTATAATAAAGAAAAGTTGTAAAATTCTAAGTGCTGAAGGTTACTAATAATTTAGTACAAATGATTATACATACATATTGCTGAACATACATATTAGTAGAATATAGTGGTATATATTTTGACAAACTGCTTTTTCAAGCTCAACAAATCTGGAATTTCAGTCTACCTGTCTGAAAGCAGGATTTCTATAATTAATTATTATTGAAAGCTGCAATCTGCTGTTTTCCTGCAGATCCTTAAGAGAGGCTGCACTGTGAATGACAGAGATGGACTGACTGATATGACTCTCTTACATTATACCTGTAAATCTGGGGCTCATGGTATTGGTGAGTAATGAAACAGAGAAATTAGAGAAGAGAGAGCCTAGTTTGATCTCACAGTCTGCTCCTATCTTTCATTCAGAGGTGACCTGATCAGGGTGTGGGGCCTGGGGTAAATCAGCCTGTGTGGGGCCCTGTCCTTGAACATGAGGAAGCCGGCGGTGGATTTGGGTGGGGGGGAGGCGGGAAAGAGGGACTGGGGGCGGCGGGGTCGG